TCATCAAAAATATTTAAATTAACTATAATTCCAAAGTCCACAATCTTCACATTCATGTTCATGTTTACATTCTGGCAATGCAAAGTTATAAGTCACATTCCAAAGAGTTAAAATTTTTTCAATCACTTCTTTGATGCTGTGTGTTTTTAAACTTACACCCCATTTTAATTTCTCAACTACATCAAATACACATGCTTTTCCAACATGACATTTTGTTTCCATCTTTTTTTTTTAATTTGAAACAAAAGAAATTTATTAGAAAATTTTAGATATTAAGAAAAATAAACATCCATAACTTACTGCATATCCACCAAGATAGCACCAACTTGTAATCCCCTATAAAAATATATATATTGATATATCAAAGATGATTATTAATAACAAAGACTTTAAAATTCAACTAATAATTATTTGACTATTACATTACAAAGACCCATGTAAATAGGATCAGCAGTTTGACCAATATGCCAAATAGGTAATAGTTCATATGGTACAGCTGGAGGTCCCGGTAAATGTAATTTTTTTGCAGCTCGTCTTTCCCCAGGTGCCTCATATGCAACCACTGGCAAGCCATGAGTTAATCCTAGTAATGAGGCCAAGGATCCACCAAGAGAATGGCCAATTAACCATACTTTTGAATCTTGAAATTCAGAAGCCATATTATCAAAAAGATTCTTTTTGTGATAATTAAAGCAAGAATGGAAAAAATAAAATATTAGAAGTAAATAACAATTAATTATCAAAGAAAAAATTTTTTTTTCAATTAAAAAAGAGACAAATGATTTACCAAAACAACTTTGTAATATAATGATTCATCCGATTCTTTATCAACACTCTCTTGTAAACAGTCAATATCACAATTGTAATTGCCACGATGACAATCACATACACCAGACCAGGTACGATCAACTTTGGCACAACAACATGAAAATAATAAGTTATCCTAACAAATTAAGATCAAAATTGTATATTAAAACATTTAAAATAATAAAAAAAAAATGATGAAATCGAACAATAATAAAATTGTTCAACAATAAATCATTAAACTCCAAAAAAATAAAGGTGTTACCAATCCTAACAATTAAAAATTTTTTAAATTCTTCACGATTAAAACCTTTGAAAATGTCTCAACAACCATCATCACTGCTGAACAAAACACAAATTATAAAATGTCGATAAGGTTTGTTTGTCATTTAAGATTTTTCTACATACTATATATCCAAATTTGGAAATTATATTCAAATAATTAATTGACGATCGGTGAACCCTAAATAAGGATCGGGCGATTCTTTAAAGTTTGAATATGCAATTAAGCCCAGAGATGCAAACGTCTCCTCTGCAAGATCTATATATACTTCACAAACATCAGTCCCAACATCGATTTTAAAGATATAATGGGAGTCTCTCCCATCTCTTATTTTTAATGGTAAAAGGATTAATTCTTTGAAAAGCACTAACATTCTTATAAAAGACAGTGAGATATATGTTTGGGAATTCTGTGAATGATTATCAGGTCACTTAATCAAAATAATTTCTAATATATTAATTTATTAGTAATATCGGATATCAATTCCTTTTAAGATGAAGTAAATTTTTGATAATTCATCGAATGATATTGTAATCATTGTATAATTTTTATATTTAAAATACATTATAATGATAATATGATACAGAGAGAGGTGTATTATTAATGCAATTACAATTTACAATTATTTTAACTCTTTTAAAGTTTTAATTAATTGATCATGTGTTTCAGTTCCTTCAAAAGATTTTTTAGTTCTACCTATTAAACTTTTTAATAAAGTTTTAGCTTGATACAACCAATCTTCACAAACCATCTCTTCCTCAATAACTTCTTTACCATCGATCGATTTTTTCTTTTGACTTTTCAACTCGCCAAGATTCTGGTACGCTTCTACAACCTCTAATGCACTCTTTGAGACTTTATGAAATACTTGTTCTGAGCTTTCTAATTTTGGATCATATAAAACACTCCTGTAGGCTTTCAATTCTGATTCTAATGATTGTTTATAATCTTTCTTCCAATAAAAAAAATCTTGAACACAATTTCCACACTTCATAATTTGATGTTATTTTTGATGTTATTGTTTCAATTAATAGTTTCTCCAGCCTTGGTGCTAATCTACTTGAATCTGATTTATTTATATCTTTAATGTCTTTTGTGATTGCATTAACTATTATTTCTAATACTTCTATATCAACACAATTATCCCTGTCTTTTCTCCATCTTAATTCAACTATACGTTCCATTGCTCTGATTGTCTCATTGAATTCACCTATATCCACGCATGTATACATATAATTTGTCCATATTTTCCAATTATCATAATTTAATTTCAATCCTTGCTGAAATGAATTGAAGGCTTCAAACTTTCGATTTTGTTTTAGAAATATGGTAGCAAGATTATTCCATGATTCAGAGTTTTCGGGATTAACAGAAATAGTACGTGTGAATGCCTCAATAGCCAACTCCCAATTTTCCATATGCATTGCTGCACATCCTTTAATGAACCATGAATTTTCAAATAGCGGATTGATTTTTAATGCTTTTTCGTAGCATTCTATTGATTTCATAAAATTTTTTTGTTTATACCAATAACTTCCCAATGATCTCATAGCTCTTGCATATCGATTCCCTGATACTTCCCATGCGTGTTCCCAATGTTTTGGATTTTTCTCTATATCTCCCAATAAACAATATAATTTGGGTGAATTTGGTGTAACAAGTAATCGTTGTTGTATTATTGATTTGGATTTTTCTTCTTTTTCCAGAATAATATAACAATTTATCACATCCTCCCACATTTCCAATCTTTCAAAGATTTGTAAAGCTGAACGTACAACACCTAATGACAAATATTGTATGGCCAATTCTCTTTCCATTTCCCATTTCGATGGTATTAAAATTTGATAGAAATATAATATACGTTCTTTCACACTTGATAGTTCATGTAATGGAAATTGATCCACAAGAGCTTGAAGTTGTAAAACAGATCGTTCCATTGTACGTGAATGTTCTTTTTCCAGTCTTGATCTAAGCAATAGAGCCATTGTGTATACCATCCAATTGTTTGGATTTTCAAGAACTCGTGTTACATATGGGACCATCTGTTCTGTGGTTATGCCATGAGATGGATTAATATTCTTTACATTTAAACAGAAGGCCAATAAAATACATTGATCTATCACTTTAAGATTCTTTTGATTCTTTAGATCAAATTTATCAACAACTTCGTCATTTTTATTGTTGTTGTTTTGTTTGGTAAGTTCAATTTTTTCTAAAAGTGTATCATCATCAAGTGGCAGATTATTAGGAATTTTTTTATTTTTATCTTTATTTTCTTCTTTTTCATCCATATCATCACCATCATTGTTTCCAGTACTACTATTTGCAACAATTAATAACTGGGTTACATCAAATGTTTGAAATTTTGTTCTTTTTCCTAATGCACCTGTGAGTTTCCATTCAAGTCCACTGAAATTTTGAGCTTTTTGAAATTGTTCAACAGATAAAAAATCTTTAAAATAATAATGATAAACAAGTCCATGCTCTAAATAAAATCTCATTTTTAATTCTGTAGTTATATTAGGTGATGATGATGATGATGACGACGATAAAGAATTAAAAAAAATTTTCTCTAATGAATCAAAATATTGAATCATTCTATCATACAATGAACCAACAACATCATCTAGTATACGTTGTTGAAGAAATAAAGTTCTTAAAGCCCACCAATTTTCAGTTTTCAAATCTTTTAATAAATAATCATGTTCAACCAAGATCGTTCTAGCAATCAATAAATAAGTAGCATATGGTGTTAAATGATAAGCCTCCTCCTCGCCATTTGCTGCCAAAATACTCAATGATTTTTTGTTTA